GACGAGTTTGCCTTTTGCATTTGCTTACCCGCATTCGCATTGAAATAATCGCACAAATTGTCATAATAATTGCACAAATGCATCAATCATTGTAATGAAGTGTAAATTAAAAGCTGTGCGTTAATTGTTTGCGAAAGAATGAAACGATTTATGCAAATAAGTAAGTAGTTTATTAGGTCTGCTTGGTTCTAAGGTGACGAAATGTTGATTGAAACGAGTCCAGTGAATCATTAGCCACACAGGCGCAGCCCGAACGAGACAAATAACATACAAATAAAACATAAAAATGAAATGGCAAATTTAGGAACATAAACGTAAATCCTAAAACCTAAGCGGAGCACTCTCAACAAAGAGGTTATTTTTTGTATAAAAAGTGTATATTACTCAACTATGGAATAAGCTGGCTCCAAATATTATTTCCAGCGTTAATAGCTCAGTTATGCATTCTTTGCCATTTTTTACCATTCAAAATCAAACCCAACAGACTTCTACATGTGAAGTGCTATGCGTTGGGTAACCGCTTACACGCAAAACTGATTTAACAGATTCCTTATGTGACAAGTCTCATGCAACGCCAAGTATGCATAACTGAGCTATAAGCTGATAGCCTCGAGTTTATCGAAGGTTCGACTTATCTTTCAGGAAGTCAAGGCAGTGAAAAATGGATAAAAACAAAGTTTTGTATCGAACTGCTCGAAGAGGTTCCCCTTCCAAGACGTTCCAAGAATATTTTTTGGAGATAAATTTGTTTAAAAGAATATATTGCAATGTAATAAATATGTGCATACATATAAAAATATATATCGCTAGCTTAGAGTGAAAATAAGTCCCAATTAACCCTCATACGATCCTCAAAAAAAAAAATCACGCTTAATATCTTCCAGGGTGAAATATCACCCACTACTTTTCGTTACACAAAGTAACATAAGTCGCAATAAATTTTTCTTCATTTCTAGTTTATTGTTTATTTACCATGTTTTATTTAAAGCAATCTTTACCAAAATATGTTGCAAATATTATGTGATCTTTACACCCCGCGACAAAAGATAGCACATCATCATTTTTACCAGTTTTGACTACTTTTCCTTTGATTATTTTAAGGTTCATTATTTTTGTATGAAAGTATAGCCTTTATCTAACAAATACCACATAAATCTAAATTTCAGACTTTGTACAAAAATTCCACAAATTTTTCATCCCAACTCCATGGATTTTAATTTTAATTTCCAGAAAAAATTTTAAGTATGCAGTTTTACAGCTTATTAAATTCAAGCATAATAAAGTGCAAGTATTTTTTATTATTATTTCTTTATTATTTAATCTTAATAATTTTTTTTAATATAATTTATTCTTTAACAAAACCCATATAAATCCATGTTGTAGACTTTGTGCAACATTAAAACAAAAATAAAAACTTCTTAAAAATTTAAATTTTTCGATAATTCGATTTCTGATAAAGATTTTGAGTATGCAGTTTTGTAGCGAAAATATTTATAAGAAATCTAATTAAAACGCTCGAAAGTTTTGCGAACGTTAGTTGATTTTTTTATGTTGCACAAAGTTTGCTATTTTTGTTCATGCGGTTTTTGTTAAAGAATAAACTATATTTTTATTAAAAAACAAATAAAGATTAAATAACACAAAAATTAATTGCCAATATATGGGCGGCGTATAATCGTAATAATCACTATATTATTTATTGGGAGCGGCCTTTTTTTTGGTTGCCCGTGAAAATGTTGCTTATTTGGATCGAATTCTGTTTTTCTGGTCCCCTAAACTACCATTATTTTAAAGTTTGTAGCCCTTGACAAGTGCTAATCATAATATACAATTTCATTGGCACATAAATTAGTTGCTTGAGGTGCTAGTAAACATTATTAAGCGGTTCTATACACAATTATTTTCCTAGTCACCTTGAGATGAACCTCTGTCATGTCTAAGTATGCTCTTAAATGGCAAAGTCACTTTAAAATCAGCATGAATAGTTCTTTCGAAATGCTTGAGTGGTATTGTATAACTTATTCACTGCTCTTATCGCTGAAGTAACTGCTTCCTTGTAACTAAAAGTCATTTTTACAGATTGATATAAATATTTGAATTTAATACTACTACCGGGTTTACACAAGTTAGCATAAAAAAAATTAAAGGTTCTCATTTTAACGGGTTAAGCAGCGTTTTAGCGCATTCTGAGTAACATTTTTTTTTTACTGGCGCAGAGCTTAAGTTGTACATAAATATTATTTGTCTTTTATTTATTTCATTGCATTGAAGTAAATTATTTGTTTTCCATTTATCACGATCAAAATATTATTTATTGCAGATTTATATACATACATATATTTACATATTTATATGAACATATATTACATACATACATATATGTAAATATTCACACACGTTAATGTCTATAACAAATTAAATGCATATGTCTACTATATTTTATGATTTTCAATTTCTCTTTTTGCAAAATATGTACGCAAAAGCATAGCTAAATACTCATACAACGATAGTTATAAATTCAATTAAGCTACAGATTTCTTAAACAATCAAAACACAGAACATTAAATCAACAGGTTCTTATTTTTTTTTTGTGTTGTGTTGCTTTCTCGTATTTTTACCTCTGTACAAAATATTTATTTATTTAAAAGTGGATATCACCAAATACAGTTGACAGCGGCAAGACACGATTAACAAGTTGATGCTGACGGAAATTAAAATTAGATTAGAGTATATAAAGTCTGGATAAAATTCTCTCATAAATATTGATGAATTTCTCGACATAACTCGGTTTTAATAGCACGAGTGCGTGTGTATATTTATGTAATGTAAGTATGCGCTCTAAATATAACAAATAAGCGGAATATTATGTAAGTGCTTCAGCTGTATTTAGGAAATCAACTTTGGTAATTTTTTTTGCTTGGGAGAAATGAAATTGTGCTTCCGAAAATGACCTTCAAGGAAGTTTCTTAGAAAATTACTTCAGTTATACACAAACTGTATAAAAGGTTGAAGAAATTTGAAAATGCGTCATACTGCCAAAAAAGCAGCACATTTCTTTATTTCAATGGTAGAATAGTGAAATCTCCAAACTTTTTTTTTTAAAGGCCATTGATATTTCCTATTTGAGTTCCCCCAAAAATCGTCGTACACCGTTAACCACTGAAAAATGTCTATGGTTTTAGGGCGACAAACTGAAACAAGTGATTCCCGTAGACCTATTTTGAAGTAAACGCAAAACACTTAAAATTCTGAGTTCTACAGAGAGCGAAATAAATGATAATCTGAGGGCGCAGGGCGCGACTTCGTGGCGGATGCATCAAAACCTAACAGCCAAGTTCTCATAATTTTTGGTGCGTCATCAAAATTGTGTGTGACCTGACGTTGTGAAGTTGGTTAATTATTATCAGTTTAAAAGTCCAAAATAAATCGTTTGACTAGGCGATAGCATTTTAGAATCGATAATTCCCTTCCAATACTGCCAAAGCACGAATTTTTCCAACAGCTCAATTGTTGTAAAATCGTTATTCTTTTTAAGGTAGTTTCAATAACTGAAGTCAACATTAGGTTAGCGAAAAAAAAAAATATATATATATATATTTCATTGATTTGATCTGCAAGGTATTGATTGATTTTCTTATGTCATAGTAGACAAGGAATTTTTCTATGAAATTCTATTAGGTTCAACTTGTTAATTTAATATTGGAGAAATCTTCATTAACATACAATGCATATTCCAATCAGGTTTTTGAGCGCCAACCAGGCAGATAGTGTGCGAGTGTGTGTATGTTTGTTTAGCAACATGATTTCTGTACAATTGAAGTATAAACAATTTGTAGATACTTAAGTGTTGTCACAAATAATCTTGCAAAGTATACGCAGATATGTACATACGTGATGCGACTTATTTATGAGTTTAAAAATGTTAAACGAAAATGGAGCTACCATACGTACATTAGACTGTACCACCTTAGCGGCAAACAAAAAAAGTTCGCCGTACACCCCTAAGTCTAAAGTACTCATCCCCAGTTTTACCAATAAATTTTAAAATTTATCAGACTGTTTACTAGACATAATTTTGTTCGAAAAATTTTTCGTTTTAAATTTTAATAGTCTGATAAATTTTCAAATTGATTGGCGCAACTGGGCATCATTTTCTTGCTAGGAAATATCGAAAAAAAAATTAGTCGAGCCTAGTGATCGAATTTTCATATTTTTCGGCGACACCTAAATTCGGTAAAAGATTTTTTTACAAGGCGATTTCAAAAGAAAAATAAACAAATCTGTGGTCACGGCTTTTTACATTTTTCGGCGATTCCAAAATTCGGCAAAAAAAAAAACAAATTTTAAAAAGTTCTACTGGAATAATCGAAATAGCCCCTTAGCAAAAGTTTAGTGATTTTCGGCAAGCTTTAATTTACTGGCATTAGGGTGGCACGTTAGGGTGATAAGAACTGACATCTGGTGGGTCGTACTAGATCACTGAACTGGAACAACAAAAACGCCTTTAAGATCCGAATGTAAATGCCGAAGCAAAGGCGAAAAATATAGAAAAGGTGACCTCTACGATCGACCAAAAACAAAAAAAAAATTAAAATACCGAAAATTCCTGTAAAATTATGTACTTATCATTCGAAGGTGTACAGCGAACTTTTTTTTCTGGTACGGTCTAATGTACATATGTATGTATGTAGGTGCATGTATGTATGTATGTATGTATATACGTAATAGATAATAGAACATTATAGAACAGCAACAACGCCTACCAAAAAATAAATGGCAAATGCTTTAGCTGATAAAATGTTGTTAGTGAGATGGCAAATGAATTAAATGTGTTTAATTTATAAAATGATTATAAATTTAATTTATAGTTGAGATTTTGATAATCTTTTTATAAATTAATTTACTACTCAATGTTTTACTTTGTTAAGTTTTTTCAAACTTGTTTTTTTTTGCAAAATTAAACGTCTTACTAATTCTTGGTATTATTTAATTCTTTTTCAGCAATCACAATGGGTAACCAGCATGCACTAGTATTACTAGTGCTAATCGCTCTTAGTGCATTCCAGCTAACATTTACCAGCTCAATTCATTCGGTCGATTCGACATTCGACAGTAATAGTCTTTTGGACGACGAGGCCAATGACAATATCTTGGAGTCGGCACATTCAACAGAGCACGGCATCAAAATTTCCACACCCAAGGTAAAAGACATGCCCCTAACCTCTACAACAACCACAGAAACCGTGCGTCCCGCAAGAGTAGCGGCGACAAAGCATGCCAAGAAATCCACTAAAACAACAACTACAGCTGCGACGCATCCACAGTTAAGCGATGAGGCATTGAATACACTCATCGAAGAAACAGAACATGGCGACCATCAACAGATGAACGATGAGACACTCAACGATCTGATCGAAGCATCAAAACATAGCGCCGCACTTGCCGACGATCCAAGGTAACCAAGCTTAAGTTAAGCCGCCGCCGTCTTATTTGAACGCTCTTGACCGTGCAAGTTTTCATTTTAGATTCAATAAACTGTTGCCGAATAAATTCAAGACGGAGAATTCCACCGTCACGAATAATAAAAGCGAAGAGGCTTACTACGATTATGACGCTGACGATTATGATGATGAGTATAGCTATGATGATGAGTTGGTCAATACAGAATCTGCTCAAAAGATAAAAACCAGCACCACAGCGAAGCCAACGGGAGAAAGTAATGCGGCAACGAAGAGCAACAAGAGGGTGGAAATGAAACCGATCAAGGAAGAAAAACAGGTGAGTGTGTGCAAGTGTTAAAGCGTTGCGTATGTATATGCATATGTATATAAATAAACTACATTCACATTTATGTATACGCTTTAGTCATCTTCCAAGTCGAAATCGACGGATAACATTCAGGAGCAAAGTGAGAAGAAAATCGAAGACTTGGACGAGGATGACTATGATGACGACGATGATGGTGATGAAGACGACGATATTAACGATGAGGAGGAGATCGTTTTCAATCAGAATGTGCCTTGCCCAAGATACTGCGTTTGCGCACGCAACGTTAACAGCTATCTGGTAGCGACATGCAGCCGTTTTGATCCTGAAACACAGAAATTCGGTTCTGACATCACCGATTTGATCGTAACGGATGTTGGTCCAAAATATCCCATTTTGTTGGGACCAGAATTCTTCCTGCAGATGGGTTTAAAATATGTGTCCTCGATCAAGATTTCAAATTGCACTATTGAGTTCCTACATCCCGATGCTTTCCATGGCTTGGATGAGTTATACTCGGTGAATTTGACGAATGTCGGTTTGGCTGTCATCAATCCCAACACTTTCTCAAAGAATAAGAAGCTACGCCTGCTGACCATCTCCGGCAATGATTTGAGCGTTATGTCTAATGTGCATTTCCTACTCAATGTGAGTATATGGTTTAAACAACTGTAACATTTTAATTTCTTAAACTTCTGCTAATTATTACTTCTTTTTTTCCAGTCCTCAAGCATTGAGGAACTGGATCTGTCACGCAACAACTTAATGGAGCTGAACCCACAAGCTTTCTCGCAACTGTTAAATATAGTCTACATTAATTTGTCACAGAATAACTTGCAGAAGATTCCCGAACATGTCTTCGATTCCGTTGAGACGATCGAGGAATTGGATTTGTCTTACAACGCGCTGAAAACCCTGCCTGCCACCGTCTTCAACCGCACTGCGCTTGCTATATTGCATTTGAAATACAACTCCATTACCGGCGACTTACACTTTGGCACCGATGATCTACAACAACTCGATCTTAGCTTCAACAGCATCAAGAAAATCCATCATGGCATGTTTGATAAAATGACCGGCCTGACTAACCTTAATCTCAAGGGTAATGGCATTACTACCATCCAGCCTGATTCCTTCTTGGCGCTGAAGAGCTTGCGTCATATTGATCTGTCCATCAACGACTTAGATCAAGTCAATGCCATGATTTTCTTCAAGAACTCCGAATTGGATGTCATACGCCTCAACGATAATCCACGCCTTAGCCAATTGCCTACTGACGGATTCCACAGCCACAATGGTTTCTTCACCGTTTACTTCCTAGATATTTCGAATTGTGCTATTGGCGCTCTCGGCCACAAAACCTTTTCAACAATGCCACATTTGGCCACATTGAAGCTCGCCTGGAACAACATCAACAACTTGGAGCGTGACACTTTCATCAGCCTTACTAAGCTGACCGAACTGGACTTGAGCAACAATTTGATTGCCCGTTTGGATGAGCTCCTTTTCATGAACAACAACGAACTGACTAAACTGAATCTGGCCGGCAACCCAATACGCAAACTTTCCGTGCGCCTCTTCATGCCACTGAGCAAACTACGCGAATTGGACGTAAGCGATTGTGAACTGACTTCGTTACTCTCCGAGAACCAATATGGCATGGGCCGTAAATACAAATTCTACGACACTTTGCGTAGCTTCAATGCCTCGTCCAATCAAATTAAACGCGTATCCTCCGGAGATGTGCGCAGCTTCAAGAATCTACGTACGCTGGACATTTCACACAACCCACTCAAGTGCAACGAAGACTTCCAAGACTTCATCAACTACGTATCGCTTACGCCCAACTTAGGTACCAACAAACTGCCAACGCTTGCCAATCTCGAAGGTGACGCAATTGTCGAATATCAACCACACGCTGACTGGGCTGCGCTGGCGCATGAGGTGTGCCGCCGTCAAGAGACTACTGTGAGCAAGACAAAGCAGAAGAGTTTGGAAAAACGCATCGAGCAGGCGGACAAGGTGTTGGACGACGATGCAAGGAGTCTGTGGAAGATTGTGGAGAACACAAAGCACGATAAACACAAGATACTGAAGGATACAGATAACAGCGAGGTGTCTATTGCGGGTAGCTTGGATGAGGAGAGTGCGGAAGAGGACGAGAACACCGCCGAGGAGAGCAAAGACGACGAAGAGGAGGAAGAAAACGATAGCGAATATGACGAAGATGAAGACGACGAGGATGATGAGGATGACGATGAAGACGACAATGGTAAAAAGGGCAACGACGAAGACATCGAAAAGAAGATTGACATTACTAAGCTGCATGACTTTGGCATGCGCGTCGAAGAAGTGAACCTGAACAAAGAAACGAAAGATGAATTCTTGTTGAGTAAGTACAGTGTACAGATTATAAAAAAATTTCCTAAAAAATACGTGCTTTATAAACTATATTTTATTGCAAATTGTAGATAAATTCTTGTTGAATGGCGAGGACTCTAGCGAAAACAACGCCGAAGAGGAAATTATCATTGAACGCGGTCGCATCTATTATGAAGGCTCCAGATTCCTAGTGCCCGCAGTTGTGATCTTTTTATGCCTATTCATCATTTTGGCCGTCATCACCAAGATCGTTATGGTTATGTTGCGTAAACGTGGCGAACGTTATCGCATGGCGCTGTTGGCTTCCTCCAACAACTCGATCGTCTATCAGAAACTTAGCGAAGAAATCAATCCTAAGGTAAAGGAACCGAAGGTACCGAAAGTGCATCGCTATGCACCAATTAATCAGGTCTAAGGCAAGAGGCCGAACATAAATGGGCCGCAGGCAAATTTAGACAAGAGGAATTGGATCCCATACTAATAGCAGTTGTTGGGAACTGGATGAGTAAATGTGAAAAGGGCATGGGAGTTGAAAGAGAAAAAAAAAACACTCAAAACACAACCACTTGTTATTAAAATGTTTTAATTTTAAGCAAAACTATATAATAAAAATATGAAAAATAGTAAAATGCAAAACACAACTAAAACAGAGGAAAACGCACACTAAACGAAATACATACATATACATGTAGGTATGTGAAATTTGTAACAAGGCGGGAACCAAGTATTAATAATGAATCATACTTAAATACAAAACATAATAATACTATTTTACGTTACTAAACTGATGCAGTACTTAATTAAATAAGCTTAACTACGAGATATGAAAATTAGAAAAAGTTAACTATTTCTGTTTAATTTTTTCGATTCCGCCCCCCAAAGTTTGATTAACAGAACACGCCAACCGATCTACAAACTAACGCAAGGGAGAAGGTGAAAAAAGTGATCAAAATTAATTAATAATTGTCTTACACAAAGCAACTGAAAGCATTTTATATAAATAATTTACAATTAATTTAAAGATAGTGGAAAAAACGCCAAACCCATTCCATCAATTTACAACATACTAAGCAAAGACTTTCAAAGAATACCTAAAATACTTAGTGCCATGGTTTGAAAATTTTCGGAACTAAAGAGGATTACATGTTTGAAAAAAAAAAAATACTTGTAGATGTGTAGATACCTCCAAAAATATTCAGTATGCTATTCGCACGACAAAATTAATATAAAGAAGACCTGGGCGTTTTTTTGTTGTTGTATAGAAGAAAAAAGACACAAGAGGTTAATTCGCATTTGGTGAAAGAGTAAAAAATTAATTTTATTACTTATACACAATTAATAAATAATAGTAACTTTATATATACATATATACGATAAATGTTTTCTGTAATATATGTTGTAAGTGAAATCTTACATAACTTTGAAGCTTCTAACTACCTTAAAAATATTTACATACACTAAAAATTCTTCCACAATCTTTTTAAATTAGTTTATAAAGTATGTATGTATATACATACATACATGCAACCTAATGTATTTACATACATACATTTAATTACCTTGCTATATATTTTATTTCGAATGCAAAAAAAAAATCTATCCATGCAGAGAGCGGGAAAGAAGAAATTTAAATTATTTTTTAACAAAACTTATTTTTGTAATGTAATTTCGAAGTAAATTAAATTGGATAATTATATAATTATTATTATTTACATAGATACTACAGGAAAAAAAA